GCACCCGCATCCTGTCCCTGGAAGAAAAGTTATGTGACCTCTTCTTGAAGTTTTATAGCAGCAGTCACTTTCATGATAAAGCCCCATAAATAGAAAGGGAACCCAGAAGCAAGTTGGTGACTGGGACGTTTCTAGGAATACATTAACCACCCGGGGATATATTGACCAGGAAGTCAGCAGGAACGCTATTGTTAAACTCAGCCAAGTCCCCAAACTGTGTGCACACTGTCAATAGTCTATGAGGCTGAACCAAATAGGATAGCATTTTATCAGATTGTTTTGGGTCTGGGTAGTCAACGCGCATGAAATGGGCTCCACAGGAAGCCAGAGATGGAGGAATGTTCATTCAAGTAGCAGATACAACACAAACAAGAAGCTCAGTGAATTGGAAGTTAATTCTGGGTGGACCCTCTGCATGTTTGTATTTTCCTCTCCACTGGCACTGTTTCTCTACCAGGGGTTCTTGGGATACACTGGTGTCTGCTGTGTAGCATTTCTCAAAGAATCATTTGTGAGTTCTGAAAAAGGACCCTGAGCCATGGAAGGAAAAGAATAAAAACCCACAGGTCACCAAAGCCTGTGTCCCCTGGGCCAGGGCACAGTTGTTGCCTAAGATACATCTCTTGGTGCTTTGCCCTAGTTTTAAATGCCATCACCATCAGCTAGGATTTTTGCTCATGAGACACCTCTAGCTCTGTGAGGGACATCAAGGACTTTGAACCGAAAGGAGACACAGCTATCCCAACCCCTCCCCCATGGCTCCTGCACTTGAGAAGCCCAGTTCTTTGCCTCTCTTTGGCATTGACATAAGGGGAGCAGTGCATATTTAATTCTTACCAGCATTCTGGGCAAACTGACCTTTTGAAACTTCTCATTTTTCATTTTTATGCCATAAGCTTTGGCACTCCCAGCAATACCTGGACTATTTCTGCTCATCTGAACTCTGTCATCCCCTAGCCACCATCCTCTGCCTCTTTGAGGGAAAATGGGGCAGTGTTTGAGCTGCCATACCTCCCCCAGGGGCCCCCAGTTGCAGCTTTCCTTCTCTGCTGGTCCCTCCCTGCCACCTACATCTTCCACCCCGTGTCCTTGGGGCACTGATGACATATGTCCAGCAGCTCACCTGCCCATTTCCAGCTCATAGTTCTAACCTCCAACGTCTTCCTGCATTAGGTCTCTGTCCACCCTGATGTTTGCTACATCTCCCAATTTAGTATCATCTGCAAATTTAATTAACATGCCGTTGCCTCCCTGTTCCAGGCCATTAATGAAGATGTTATGGCAGTACCCAGCAAACAATATTTTCAAGGTCACGAGGAGAGGAGAGCTAAACTGCTAATAATACCGCTGCTCAACATGGTGGAAGGAGACAATCAAGTGCCCACATGTGGTTTGAGTCATTTCCTCTGGGTTTTGTGAACTTCCTTTCCCTGACTTGGGTTAGGTTTTTATGCCTCCCTTCTGCCTCAGCCGCTGCACATCCGGGGCAATTCCCATTTGGAAAAAGAAAATCAGATGACGCCTTCCTTTTATTTTCTAGCAGGAGAAACAGCTACTAATTGAGCATTTAGAGGGAGAGACGGTGTACATGATAAAAACAAAGTAGTCTTTATCAGGCTTGTTATCTGGCCACCTCTCCACTCCTGAAGCACTAAATGTGACAGTGGAAAATACACATCAAGGCCAAGGCACCGAACAGCGGAGGGAGAGAAGACGTGTTCCTGCTGAGCTGGTTCCTAAGGATCTGCAGCCAAGGGGTGGCATGAAGAGGAGACCCCTTCATCCTTGGCTTGTGCCGCTAACCCTGTTTATGACCCCATAGCAGATCTTGAGCCCCTCCCCCTTTAGTCTAACATCACCCTCTGCATTACAAGTGGCCCATTATGAACCTGATTTGCCTTCCTTCCACACCAGACTGCAGATACCATACCGTAACACTGCAGATTGCTTGGATCAGAAGTACTGAGTCACAGGAGCAATTCAGGATAATGCTATTTACGCCCAGAAAATTGATCCCGGGTTATTTACTGTTTCTAGCACTTCCCTTCTCATCTCTCACTGCAGGCCTGTCTCCAGTTCCCAGGCTCCTAATCATTTCTCAGACAGAATGTCTTGAAGGTGTCTCTGGACCAGAGCCCAGACCGACCCAGCAGAGCCCTGGCATGGACAGGGGCTGGAACAGCTTTGCGTTTCCTGGGCTTGGTGGACAGGCTTGGCCCCCCAGCTGCAGGCCTTCCCGGGTCCAGATCTGGCCTCTCCAAACCTCAGGACACACAAGAACAACCTGTGTGTGTTTCAGTTGGTCAGCGGGACTGGAGTCACACTCAGACACCTCTCCAGGGAGATGGCTTAGGGAGAGAGCCACAGGTTTGGAGAATTTGTACCTGGCCTGTTGTGGGCCTTCTCCAGCTGTAAACAGTCATGTGCTCACTCATCAAACATTGAGAGGCAAAAAAGCACAGTGGATTCTGAAGCTAGACTCCTAAGTTTGAATCCTGGCCCTGACGTTTTAGTAACTGCACTACGTTGGGCTTCACCCCAGTTTTCCCACCTGTAAAATGGGATAATAGCCACACCAACCTTATAGGGTTGTGAGATTTTTTAAAGCTGATGTGTGTGATGTTTTGGCTGTTATTACATATCAAACGCCTTTAACACGCCAGACAATCTTGAGGTCAGAGGTCAGCAAACTTTTTCTGTAAGGTCCAGATAATAAATATTTTTGCATTTGTGGGCCATAATGTCTCTGTCACAACTATCCAACCCTGCTGTTGCAGCCCCAAAGCTGCCATAGACAATAAGCAGTTGAATGAGCATGGCTGTGTTCCAATAAAACTTTATGGACACAGAAATGTGAGTTTCATATAAACTCATCTGTCACTAAACATTATTCTTCTTTGGATTTTTTTAAATATTAAAAATGTAAAAATCACTTAGTTCACAGGCTATATGAAAATAGAGAGCAGGCTGGGTTTGACCTATATTTGGCCCACCCCGGTCAAGGCATTGGAGACACAGATGCTGGCATGTCCTGCCATAGGAACCCGTGGTGCAGACAGAGCCTCCCTGGAGCTTCCCTGAGCCTGGGGTGCTGGCAGGCTCCTTCACAACCCTCATGCTATTTTTCCCCCACCAAGGTCTGACTTTGTCTTAAAATCCCCTCTTGGAATGGAGGCAGTGAGACTCCAATCAGGCCAAGGTTAAGAAGTGGCAGTTCAATTCCAAGCCCCAGCATTTTGAGTTCTAGTTCCTCTGAGATAAATCTCAGACTCCAGAGACCCAGTGCACAAGCCTGTCACCATTCCAGCACTCTGGAGGAGTTCTAACCTCGCATTGGGAATAGAAAGCAGAGAACCGATGGGGGGAGGAGGGGTCTTGCTGAGCAGGGAATTTAGATGTTATCTGGGTTAAGTTTGAAGCACTGCAAATGTGTTTCTTTCAGAGGGCAAAAGCCAGAGCAGACAGAAGGATGACAGGGTAGGTGTTCCTGGACAAGCAGCAGTTCCCTTCTGGACCTTTGGGGCAGGCTCTCTGGAAGGCACTAATGGCCAACAAAGTTTCACGTAGGGAATGACTTCTGTCCACCCAGACTCGGGACTTCACATCAGTCTCCCATCCTCGCCGCTCCCTGCTCCAAGGCCTATGCCCCAACACTGAGTGATTTTCCATCATGACATGTTCATCATATCCCCTTCAAGGCACCCCTGACTTCCTTCTCCATCAAATCTAAATCCTTCTGCTTGATTTCTAAGGGCCCCATCCTCAAGGCCCAGACTGACCCTCCCCAACACAGTGGACCTCCTGTGACACCGACGTCCTGCCATCTGCAGCACCTGTGCATGCCCTGCATCCCAGAATCCCCCTCTCCCACCTCCTGCGACACCTGGCCCCATCCAGCCTTGTCCTTTGTGTGAAGAAACCTTGCAGTGGGGTCACAGAAGAGGGATTTAACTGTGCCTCAACTTCCTTATCTGTAAAAGGGGGAAAATAAGGGGACTGACCTCATGGGGTTGTTGAGGTTTAATCTGAACATGCATGTCACACATTCCCTGAATGGTGCTAGAGGTGGTTCCCAAAAGTGCCCCATGTTCGGAAACAGCAGTAGGCAGCAGCAGCAGCCAGCCCTATCTGACTCTGGAATACGTTCACCTCTTCCTTTGCTGAATCTTTAAAGTTACTATTTGAATGACACAATCATCACAAAAGGTTTCTTGGATAGAGGTCCATTCTCCCCACTGAGGCTACAGACCTTTCTTACAGCACACTTTACACATTCCCTGGCCTTCCGCGGAGACTCTGGCCCTCTGTGGCCCTGGGTCTGGACTGTCATTTTCTTTTCATTAATTGATTGAAATGGTGCCACGCACTTCTGCGCCCTTTCTTTCATGAGGGGCTTCAGGGGAAAGGCTGAGGACAGGCTATCTTCCTATTACGGCACTCTGACAGGCCAACAGAATCTGCTAAGAGTGGCCTGAAGACACTCAACAACATGTGTTTAAGTAACAAGAAAGGGCTTTCATTGAAATGACCTTCAGAGCAGCAGTTGAGCTCTAAGTGGACAGGAGAGTGCCACCTGGGAGGGGGCTGACCTCTGCCAAACCCTGCAGGAAAGCCCCAGAAATCCATGGTGTGGCAGGCCCTGTCCGTTGTTTCCACAAGCTCCAAGAATCCAGTCTCCCCACCCGGAGCCCCCAAAGGTATGGCCAAAGGTTAACGGGCTTCAAAGGGAGGACAGGAGGTATATAAGGACCTGTCAGACCAGACAGACGCCAGAGGACAAGCAGAGAGAGACTCTTCCCGGCCCACTTGGACCACTCTCATGCCGTGAGTAGCCAGAGAAGGGTGGGGAGGTGGTCAGCATGAGTCCTGGGGTGAAACTGGGGTGTGAGCCAAGCCAGCCAAGTCCAGAGCCTTGTGGGGTGAGCTGACTGGCTCCTGCAGCTCTCTACCACCTTCAGATACCTACCTGGGCTTCAAACTGAGCGCCTTGAGCTGACTTCCAGAGTGTGGGTTAAAGCTGCACATAGTAGGCAAGAGCGGGGCTGCCAGGAGGCATGGAGGCTGGAGAGAGGAGCAAATCCTAGCAAGAAGAGCTGTCTGGGTGGGTGGTGCCGTCGACTGCAGGCAGGAACCCAAGCCAGAGTCCAGCATAGATGCAGGGTCATCCCACTTGGTGTGGAGTCTTGGCTCTGGGAAGTTAAGGGGGAAAGCTGGGTCCCTAGGGAGATGACATGGCTTAGCAAGACTAGCTGGGCCTGGTGCTACCATGGGAGGGGGGGAGACAGGCACCCCGTCAGCCAGAACCGAGCACTTGAAGGCTGGAGCCCCATCCCTGGTGATGGAAAAGAAAAGTCCAGCACCTTACCATACAGTGAAAAGCTCTTGCTCCCACTCTGAGCTCCCCGAACGCAGAAAAGTGTAGGTGATGTGTTGGCTGCCAGTTGGATCAAGAAAATGAGCAGCAATTGGATTTTTGCCTTTTTTTATTTAAAGTTTGTATTGATTCTTATGGAGTGAATTAAATGCAAACACCAGAATGAAAAGGGATCTACAGCATCTCGGGAAAAGGAAATGAGGCGCCATAAATGTGACACATCCGTCTCCTCTGGGAAGGAGCTGGGGCCCCAGAGACTCCGTAGGAGGAGGAATGATGATTCTGAGCCCCCACCCCCACCCTTGCTATGTCTCCTCAAGATCCCCCCGGGGCTCTGCTCAGGGCCTCAGCTTCTGAGAGGTGGTCTTCAGTGGGTGACTGGTCCTTCCCGCTCTCCTGGGAAGTTGTATGCAGCTGGCATGGAAGGCTTTGGCTGTCTGAGCTCTCATGTTCTTGCTTGTGGAGTTTTAGTGAGATGGAGAGACAAAGTAGGACGGGGCCACAGGAAAGCAAAGAGGCAGAGGGAGTCCTGCTCAGCAGAGGGGACTTCACACAATGGAGGAGACAGGTCCTAGCGGAGAGGCAGGATGCAAGCCCACAGCCTCGAAGAGTTTCTCTGAAGGGACAGTTGAAATTGAACTTGCAGAGAAGTTCGGAGGCCAGTCTAGGGCAGGTTCCTCTCATACCCATGGAATCCAGGCTGCCCAAGGGCTGTGGGAGTCCTGAATTGACCCCTAGAAACTCTTTATCTGAACCCTATAATCCCCCACACCCACACTGCAACAGAGGCTGCCTCTGGTCTCCCTTCCCTGCTCCGGGGGGCTTGGCCCCCACACCCAGCAGTCCACCCAGCACAGGAACGTTGGTTCCCAGAATATCAGCAGGCCCGCTCTTGTGATGCCCTTCACCTTCTGAGGGCAGAGGCCACCTGGACTGTGGGGCACTGGGACAAGTACCAGGTCTCAGAAGGCCAACTTCTAGCCACCACTACCTTGGTGGGAGCAGACTTGGAATGGGACCCTATGGACCAAGGAATCAACCAAGGCTAGCACCCAGCAGGCCACACCCCCCTCCACAGGACCATCCTGACCCTGCCCAGGGTGGGCCCAGCTGGCCCCTTTCTCAAGTCTCTCCATGCCTGCAGTCACCACACCCACCTGTTCCCTGGCAGTCTTGGCAGCCCTCCTTCCTGCCAGCCATTGCAGACTTACCCACTTCTAGGGATGCGGGAGGGCCTCATGCACTCCTGCTGGCACCTGGCCAGCACTCATGGCTTGGGGTTGGAGGGAGCTGTTGCAGGAAGAAGGTTGTTTCTGGATGGTGGCCAACAGGAAGCTAGACTCACTGGAGCTGGGAAGGGGCTTGTTCCAGAGCCAGTGCTGGCCCCAGAGTCGGGG